TTCCCCCCGCCAGGCACAGTGGTTGGAAAACTCCATTTAGTGAGAGTGCTCATGACGGATAAATAGGGGAATTCCCGGCTAAGCACTGTCATTTAATTTGGGTCTCCACTGTACCCGCTGGCTGGCCTTTGTACACAAGTTTTATATGGGTTTATTGTGGGCTTCCGCTGGGCCCCGCCAACTGATTGGCAGCCCAGTCCAGCCACCAGTCAAAGAAAGTTTATATTATTAATGTGGCTCCCAAGTTGCAAAATATATATATTTCTATATATGTATGTATATAGCGGTGGTGCTGAGGGGTCAGTCCTGCCCTCAGTCAGGCTTCAAATGCCTGCTGTTTTCGACAGCCCAGCTAATTGAATTTTTCGTAAATTATAAACAAATAGATACAAGTGAGAGAGATACAAGAGATACTGAGAGGATGGATGGAGGAATCAGTCAAGTTCATTATAATTTTGGGTTAGTTTATGACTTGATGTTGTTGTAGATTTTATAATTACTATTATACCCTTTCGGAATATTATACTTTTAGTCAGAAGCTTGAAAATGAGTGAAGAGTCATTTCCGACCCTATAAATCATATATATTCTTGATCAGCATTAACAGTCTAATCGATCTAGCTCTATTTAGAGGGGAAAAAAATTTCAAATATTTTTTCCAACTTTTTTAAGGGGTTACATCATTAAAATTGGTGCAAAAGTTTTGTCAAAAAATTAAACTTTTAGAAATGTTAAATTTAGTTTGCAGATTTATAAATATAATTACAACTAACACAAAACAGCTGTCCGCTTTGAAATTAATGCCTTTTTGGCTGAGTTATGGTTATTTTACATCGGATAAGAAAGGAAGCTAATTTCCGCACGCTGAAGTTTGTATACCCTGCAGATTGAATTTGTTCACTAGGAATTATAAGTATAATTATATTATTATGTTAAAAACAATTAGGTAATGCCTGCTTTCCTTTCATTCACCTATATACTTTATCTTTTTTTTTAATTTTTCTCTAACTTTAAAGATCGTTTGTATGCCAGCTATACGATATAGTAGTCCGATTTTCATCAAATATTATTCAAAATTCTAGATAAATATATTATGAATATATATTAAATTTGATGAAAATCTGTTTAAAACCGGAAAAGTTCTAATTATTTTTCTTAAAGTTTTTCGATCGTTCCTATGGCAGCTATATATATCTATATATATATATATATGGTCCACCGATTCGCCATGCTCCAACTTATATATTGGTAAAATTATATAGAAGAATAACTCCATAGTTTCATTCAAATAGCTTAAATTTGTTCCGAAACACTTCTCGCTCACCTGTGCATATGATTCTCAACTGGTTCTAACATCCCCGGAACGAAGTGACTGCTGCCGGCCAAGTATCAGTAAAGTGTTGTGCTACAAAAGTTGCAAGTCATTGTTTACTAGTGCTCAAAGTTAGTAACTGATCATACATACTTATTGGTCATAGATGGTTACTGGTCATTGATACTGTTCAGATTTAGTTACTGCTCATACTTAACTACTGATCATAGTTATTTATTAATCATAGTTACTTTTTGTTCATTGATACTTACTGATCATAGATACTCACTGGTCATAGCTAGTTACTGATCGTAGTTAATTACAGATCATAGTTCTATAAATCGTCCGATTGTTCATATGTCAGCTATATATATGTATATATATATAGTCCACCGATTCCCCATGCTCCAAATTATATACTAGTAAAATTATATAGAAGAATAAGTCCATAGTTTCATTCCAATAGCTTAAACTTGTTCCAAAACACATCTCGCACATCTGTACATATGATTCTCAACTCGTTCTAACATCCCCGGAACGAAGTGACTGCTGCCGGCCAAGTCTCAGAAATGTGTTGTGTTACAAAAGTTGCAAGTCATTGTTTACTAGTGTTCAAAGTTACTCACTTACTGGTCATATATACTTATTGGTCATAGATATTTAGTGTTCAGAGATTCTTACTGCTCATAGCTAATTACTGATCATAGTTATTAACTGAGCACAGTTATCCACTGATCATAGTTAATTAGGGGTCATAGATACTTAGTGTTCATAGTAACTCATTGTTGAGCGATACTTTCTGATCCTCTGTATTTAACAACCATTTTTCTGGAAGTTATATTATACACTATTCCGATTTACATAAAACTAGGCACAATCGCCTGATCGTAAGTCCTTTATGTTTATCAAAATTTTTTGGCATTATTGAATCGAAGCAATCGAATGATAGATACGTTATAAATTTTTAATTTTTTAAATTGTCTGTCTCTGCATTCTTGTTGCTATATCTTTTCATTTCGAAACCTATGCTTTCGATATATGTATATCCCTAAACCTAACTTTTATAATAAGCATAAATATGCAATAAAAGAATCAAACGCTTTCCCTTTGACTGGCCAAAAAAAAAAACAGGTAATACTCCGTGGGTAACTCCAGATTGTTTGCATTTCTTTTCGCTGCAATGGCACATTTGTGGCCAGGTGATGCCATTAGCGGATACTAAGCCACTTGGTGGCGGCGAGGTGGGTGGAGTGGCAGCAAGGACTCGAACTCAGTGCTGACTTTAAATAGAAATGTTTCCTGCAATTTGGCGAAGGCGGAACCAAATCAGGTTGCAAGTTGCTGCTTGCTGCTTGCTGGTTGCATTTTCCAACGGCGACGGCGATGGCGGAAGTTATTTTTGGAACGTGCAACAGAAAATGTTGCAAATTGAAAGAAAAGTCAGGCAGGGCAGGGCTCCCTCCTCAAGGGAGTGCGACCCAGTGCCCTGTTTCTCCCCATCATCATCATCATCATCATCATCAACAACATCCACATCATCCATATGCTTTTGTGAGTATTTCTTTCTCTTATTCGGCTGCTTTTTCCCCGACTTTTCCTTTTTTTGGGTGCCGCATTCTAAGCGATTTTCTGCGATTTCTTTGCAAGTTTTTCCGAGATCTGCGGGGGTGTGTGTGTGTGTGTGTGTATCCATGCGTGTACTTAAAGTTGTCTATTTGCTAGTTCTTGTTACTAGCGCTGCCACTGTTAATGTTGTCTGTCTGTCTATCTGTCTGTCTGTGCGACTCTCTGTATGTGTGTGTTTGTGAGTTTTGTGTGCCAAGAGCTGCATTGAAAATGAAAATGTTCGCACAGTTTTCCGCACAGTTGCATTTTCACTATGCTGCCGCTTGGCGCGGCTCAGTTACTTGATACAATTTTCATCCTGCCGGAAAAGCATCTCCTCCACCGCCTCCCCCACGAAAAATCCCTACACAGGAGAGGGGTGTTTTTTTCACCCTTTCCTATTTTTTTTTCTCTCGCTGGCTGCAATTTTCTTTTGATTTTTGTTTTGTTTTGTGCCTTTCTTTGTATGTGTGTCGCCCTCTGCTCTGTTTTTTCTTTAGTTCTCATCCTTATTTCTATGAGGTATCCTTTTAATTTGAAAGGGGATATTGGTTGTCCTGGAAGCTGGGTTGAGGGAGTGGGTTAAATCATATTTTATTGGAATTTTTAAAGATCGATATGAGACTTAATTTATTGTGAACACTTAAGCTTGTCTTAAAATACTATTTTTAAAAGAGTAAACGTACATATTTTTCCCTGAGCTGACAAATTCTAATGTTTAATCAGAAAAGTTTGATGAAATGTTAAAATATTGAAAAAATGTGTCCTTGCACCGGCAACAGGCACAATTGTTTTAAGCTCAAGAGAGCGGCATTGAACTTTGATTGCTCACAATTATATTCTCTCTCAGACTCCTTAAAACCATATATTTTAGTTAAATAAATAAAGAGGTATTCCCTAGTCATTACTTCTATCTACATTGCATTTCGTGTTGTTGTTTCTATGCTCATCTACTCAGTCGTGCGCTTTGTGCTCGTCTCTCCCCAGATTTTTCCTGATTTTTCCATTTTAAATGCGCTATCAGATTTTTTGTTCGGCTCATGCAGCATTCAAAAGCTGGCAAGGAGGAGTTAAAAGTTGAGATTCCCGACGGCAGCACATGTGACAGTTTAGGGGCTTGTGCAAGGGCTGAAGGACATCAATTTTCAATGCTCTCCACTCTCAATGGGCGAAGGACTCGTCCTAGTCTGGCCTGTGTCGAGAGAGCATTTGGTAAATGAATCTTCCTAGTGGCAGGATAATTATGACAAATAACCGAGTAAACGGCATAAGTAAGTAATGCGATAAGAATTCTGATAAGCCCTCGACTTTGCCCCAACCTCCACAAGGACCACCCACAGTGGCAATTAGCGCACAAACATGAATCACGAAAATATATATATATATATATATATAGAGTACTTTTATCCACATGGAGCTGAAGTTCCAGCTGCTCCTCTACCAGCTCCTGCCACGCCCCATAATCCGTCCAGTGCCATTCATGCAACTAATTTGATTTCTTTTTTTCGAGCTGCTTGTGCTCCAGCCTTTTCAGGCCAAGCTGCCCTGGCTGGTTGCAGCAGAAAAATATTTTCATTAGACATTTTGTAAATATGAGCAGCTTACTCCCGGGGATTTCAACTTAAAGCAATGAGAAATCATTTCGCTGAGGATTTTTCAAGCGGCAGTAGCTTCTCCGTATTAAGCCAGAAAAATTGCTGAGAAAGGGGGAGCTACAGCATCAAAGACGATGATTTGAGTATTTTTTATAAGGATCAGAAGATAAGATTTTTAGAAATATATTGGTTAGAGAGGCTTACATAATATATATTTCATTAAATAATAATTTAATTTGAATAGATTAATAAATTTTCAGAAGGATGCCATAAGTTCTTGATAGGTTACAGGACTTTTAGTTTTTGCATATATAATATAATAATAAATACTGACCTAGCTGTTTCTACTAGTTGTAAAGATTATTTTAGTATTAAGAAATATTTAAGATATATTTATTAATTAAATATAAGTGCTGTAGCAATGCCGTATAAAACTCAAGCAATCTAATTTAAGTAAATGCTTTTCCTCCACTTCTCTACTCATTGCAGCTGCCTCTCTAACGAGTCCCTGGCGATTGTCTCTCTTTTTCGTCCTGCAAAGTTGCCAGCCACAGCCAGAGGCTTTCGGGGTAAGTCCCATAACTGAAAGATACATTTTTGATTACCCCCGAGCTGCAATTGTTCAGCGACGGCTGGGAAACTCCGGCCTTAGAGCACCACACCTTGTTTTTCCTCTCCTTTCACTTTTAATTACTTGGGCGGCGATAAAAGGAGGAGGTGGAGGTGAGAGGCCACCGTTCGAGGGCTTTAACAGTTCATAATTAAATGAAAATTGCCGTAATATTTCGAGCGTGAATTTGAAGAGCGATTTCTCGAGTATGGATGGTATGAATGTGTGTGCTTGTGGGAAATTTTCAGAGATTTTGCACGTGCCATGCCACGCACTTGGCACTGTCCGTGGTGGACTCGGGACTCGTAAATATTCATTTCAACTCTCCTCCGTATGTTCTGGGAATCACAACTTGCCGTGGTATTTGCATAAAGTTGCCGAAAGTGAATTTGGTTTTTTTCCTCGGCTGCATTCCTAATTAGCCAGCTGTCCGTCTGACCTTGGGGTGGGTTTTTTCCATCATTCCAGTTGAGTGGGTGGGTGGGCTTGCGATGGGAATGCTGCAGCTGCTTCCCCATGGAGTGGAGTTAAAATCTGGGCTGAGCTTTAGGAAGAAGTCCTTTGACGTTAGGAAAATCTCATAAAAATCTGGTAGCTCTATGTCATGTGGAAGGGGGGGAATGTGATGTGAGCCTTGGCCGAGGCTCATCAATGATATTAAGCGCACTTAATCCTTTTACGCGCAGCGCTTCACTTCATTTGTGCCGTGGCAACGCAGACATCGAGTGCGCCAGGGATAAAGGACACGGCGGGTCCTGCACTTGTTGGAGTCCAAGTCTAGGGTTCTGCGATTCTCTATGGCTCTTTGTGGAGCCCGGATCAGCGGCTGCATCCCCTCAGCACTCTGATTCATAGAAACAGCATCCTTTGTGTGCCTTGGGGGAAAGGACACTGCAAGAAATGTGGGTCAAACTAGTTAAAAATGGGAAAATAACAAGGAAATAAAGCAGGAAGACATTACCTTATTTAATTAAGTTTGAGATATCAATAATAAAGGGAAGTATTTGGTAGATAGAAAATGTATAAAAGGTTGCCTTCATCTGAAAAGCATCAAACACAGCAACCGTATTTTATTTGTCAATTTGTATTTATTATTTTAATTGCTTAAATATATACTAGACTATTTTTCTCACTACTTCAAAGGAGCTACGGCCACAGGCACTCATAACTTTGGCGGCGCCTTTGGTGACGCGAATGAGTTTAGAAAAACTTTCTACAACTTTAAGCCGCTTAGCAGCTTTACGCTCTCAGCACGCGCGCAGCTCAGGACAGGGCTCCATGTTCCATCTCCATCTCCATCTCCATCTCCATCTCCAGCTCCATTTCCACAACCATTTTCCATTTCCAAGCATGGCAGAACGATGATTTTCCTCACCCAGGCTGCAGCGGTCATTCCGACACTTTTCCCGGGCGAAAAGTGGGGCCATTAATTTTATTAAACTCGGTTGTTGGTTTGGCGCAAAACTTTGTTTTTCTCGCATTTTCCATGGCACAGGGAAAATGTTGCAAAAATGCAACATAAGTAAACGTGTGTAAAACCAATTATGAACATGTTTTCAACAGGCAGGCAGGCGGCTGACGAAGGAATCCCTTCTGATGTATTTTAAAACTAGCAGAAAGCTACCTGAAATAATTAACACGGGATTATTACCATTTTTGGGTGATGAAAATGCATTTTCTATAAAAGTTTGAAGTTGGTAAAATGTTTAAAATTAAAAAGTTACATCGAGTTCTAAATATCTAAGGTTTAAGGTATCTTTGAAAACTGTTTAGAGAGCTACCAATATCCCTTCAACCCAACAAGACTCAAGTTTCTTATAAATTCGATGACTAAAACAGGTTTATATATAAAATTTCTATAGAAAAAATACCCCTTCACATATCGAATTAAAGTGGCGAATTCCCCATAAATTGAACTGAAGTTGAGAACTTAATTGCTCAAAAGTTGTTCACAATCCCCTCCCAGTCCGTCGCCTTTTGCCAAAAGTGTGCCTAGAATCAACAACGCAGCCGCCGAACAACAAACAACAAACAGAGAACACACACACTACACCCATTTGATGTGAGTGTGTAGAGTGTGGGCAGTGTGTGTGTGGTCCGTGGTCCAGGGGAGAATTCTACAGATGCCGCGCATTGTTTGGGGGCAACCTTTTTTCGGGCCCTTTGATTTATTGGCATCCCCGGGCCAACGCCTTAAATATTTCCCTCTTTTTCCCCATTTCCACATGCTCACACACTCGCACACCCGCACAACCCAAACACACACAACACCCACTGAGGGTTGGTTGAATGCTTTGACCAGTTGCTCGGATGATGTCGATGTCGATGGCGATGCTTTTCCCTCGATTCGATGCGGTTCCTTTTGCCTCAGTTCAGTTGGTTTGGCTATCCAAATCACGCTTATTGAATTTCATTTTTTATATATATGTCCTGGCAGGGTATTATGATTTTGATTAGGAATAAGGAAAGAGACAACATAAGAGACACTTAAAAGCAATTGAAGCAGATAGGAAAGTAGGAAAGGGACTTAATCACGTTACTTTAAAGACTTTAGATTAATTTTGTTTTAGCTGAAAATATTGAGATTAAAACCATTTCATATAGATCCTTTTCAGGGTATTATCTAATAATTTGTTCAAAAATTATTGTAGTTTTCTGTGGTTAACAACTCCTGAAGCAAAATACTATTTTCTAAGACTTTATCCTGAGGAGCTTTATAATATTAAGCTTGCTCTCTGTTTGTATTCCTAATTCATATTAACTCACAAGTGTATCTGTCCTTCGCCTAACTTCCTTTCTATCATTTCCTTTATTTTTTCCCTGATCTCTTATATTTTTTTGTTGTTATTAATGGGCCATCCCCCATTCATCGCCCATCGACAAGGCGATTAAAGCCGAGGCCAAACTTTGGGCGAGCTGTCAAAAGAAATATTTTAAATCATTTTTGGTCCACCCGGAAAATCACGTCGTGGCCCATATATAATAATTTTGCCACTCTCCTTCTATTCCGTATTTTCCTTTTTTTCTTTTTATTTTTGAAGGGCAGATGTGTTTTATTAAACATTTTCCGATAAGCAGACTGCACTGCATAAGCAGCGATTTATTTTATGCCTTTACCCATTTTTCCTCTTTAGGCTTTTAGGCCGAAGATTGCTTTGATGTTTTCGTTAGTGATGGTGGGGTGAATGTTTTTGAGAAAAATATTCAATAAATATTATCAAAAACTAATACAGTCTTATTTTATAATTTTAAAGTCTTTACAAATTAATTGCTCAGTCAAGAAATTATTAAGAAAATATTTATTTTAAACCTATATCCTTAAAATACCCGCAGATCTATCAGCACTGTCTAGTGGTCCTTTGTGAAAAATGACTTCCACTTAAGGCGGGCCCTTCTAGGGTGCTTAAATCTATATGTATTTTTGGGTGGAAAATGTGCTGGAAAATGCGTTGTGCGAGGCCGCAACTTGTTTTGCAATTAAACGCGGCACAAACGTAGCGGCAGTCCTGGTGCAACAGGTGCAGGCACGCATCACGTATCCGCCCCGTGGGCTTCGTGCGTGTTTTATTTATGGCATCGCCCACTTGCCCCTCTTACTTTACCCCCCTTACCCCACTCCCTGATACCCTTGTGCTGTTAAGCAATAAGCAAATGAGCGAACAACGAACGAGCCGAGCGGCAGCAGCCAAAAAAGCCTCAAGAAAATGACGTTGCACGCACACGACGTTGAAAAGTCATTAAGTACAAATGACGTTGCTCACTGCAAAAAGCCGTTTGCAGCATAGTTGGGGCAAGTGTGGCAAGGGGGGTGGGGGTTCGGCTCAGGTTGGAGCCGTAATTGCAGCACGTTTGAGCGCAGCTAACTGCATATTGAGTAATGCCCGCGAGGGAACGAGAGCGAGAACGACAACGACACAGGATCGGTATCGGGAGAAGGGTTTGTGTGGCAGCACAGGGAGGCTTATAGAAGGTATTGGAGTCTTTAAAAAGGGTATGTGGCACTGGCACTGGCAGGGAGCGGTGACTGTTGCAACGTTTGCCTTGCATTATTTATGACAAAGCCCGGCACCAAATTAAGCCGCACTGGAAGCCAGGCAAGGCGAGAGTGTTGAAGGCCCTGCTGCCGAATGGGTTTGCTTACAAAGTGTGTCAGAGAGCTTTAAAAAGGGGGTTTTATTTAATACAAGAGTATGTTCTTTCTTTTGAATAAAAATATATAGTAATTATCAATGAAATATATAATAAAAATGTATATTAAAATAGTTATATCCTGTGAAAGTCATGACAAATACTCTTGTCTAGTAAATCCCTTTAATTTCACACAGTTTCTAGTTAGTTTATAGAAAATAGTATGGTATTTAAGTGCTACAAGGACACCTTTTCCATCGGTGATCCTGTGCAGCCATCCCTGAAATTGTGGCTGCGCCTATACTGGCATCTCATGGTTTCAGGATCTCAGGCTGGCAATGAGTGTGCGGTTAACTGCCTCTGCCGGCTGTGAGTACTGGCTTTTATTTACATTTGTGTAATTTAATATTATACTATGGCAACGCAACGCAACGATGACGACGAGGCGACGATGGCGGTGACGTGCATCCACTGAAAGCATAAATAATCTGTTGCATGAACACATTGCGTGCTCGGGAAATACAGGGAATGCTATCTGAGGACTTGACTCTTGCTTAATTAATTTGGGCTTTAAGCCAAACACGGGCGGCGACAATCGCTTTTGGCCAACTCGATTGGCCAAACTGACACTTGTCGATAAAGCCGGCGGTCAGGCTTATGCTTACGATTACGATTACGAGGCTGCCTGGAATCAATTAAGGTCCTTTTCGTGTTAATCGCGTCATATATCAGGCTCTCTCTCTATTCCTAATGGGGGAATCCCCGCAGGGAGACGAAAGCAATACCCGGATCTTGACAAAAAGGACCCCAAAAGGGTCGATGACAAGCAGCTAGCTGCCGAGAGGAAGGGGTGTGGAAAAAAAGGACAAATCAGCACGCGACATTTTTCGCGCCACGTTGTGTTGCTCCTGCTCCAGCTCCTGCCTTCATTTTCGGGGTCTAATAAAGGACCAAAAAGCCAGCGAGAGCGGAGAACAAAAGGCGTGAAAGTCAACCAAAACCGAAGCCAAAGTGTTAAAGTACGATAAAAAGATTAGAGACAGCGACACACTTACATCCTCAGGCAAATTGAGATAAAACACAGACAGAGACACACATGATATATATATTTAAAAGGATACGGGGGATACGTAGGGCACACAATTGGTAATAGAAAATCGGATCAGATTAGATTTAATGCGGCGACGGCTAATTTTTGGGTGATTTCTCATAGAAATAGCAGGATCCCCAACGCCCACGCCGCTTCCTCTGCAGGATTTTGTATGCGCCGATCCCCGTTTCAATCCTGGCGCCATCGCTCCAAACCAAACGGAGAGCTGTCAGCGGCAATACGCCGGCAATGACAGCTAAACAAATGACACAAATGCGGTGGATGTCAGTGGGCGGTGGGCTGTGGGGATGCTAGGGCAGGACCACACAAGGATATGCCAGAGAGCACCCTACGCCGACCAGCGAGCGAGCGACGGCGAGCGTCATCAACATTTCCGCTTCCGGCTGTTTATGCTAAAAGTATGGCGTCGACAACGCCACTGAAGGGTGTTCCTTGGGTGGTGGCACCCTCCTCCCGGAACGCTTACCCCGCCCCAAGGGGGGAGGTGGCAACCCGCTGAGCTGTCAGACGCCTTAACAGCCAGCGGATTCTGTTTTTTTTTCTCTGCGCTCTTTGTGATGAGGAGGCATCTATCATGTCGGCCCAGCCCAGTCCAGAGTTTGGCGTTTCCCAAAATCAAATGCTAACTAAGGAGTAAAACCCAAACCCAAGGAAACTATTGATTAGGCAAAAGGACTCTCTGTGATTCTCACTTGGGGAGGGAGATTGTGTCCATGCCTTTAATGGTATTTATGGGACATTTTTGTTAGCCAAAGTTATAATAAGCTTAATGAGGATATAAATAAATTTCGGAGAAACTACTCATAAATAAGCACTTAGCATAAATACACATTATTACATATATCATTAGACTTTAGTGATGGTTTCAGACGTTTTTCAAGGGAAACTAGTTATCAAGGAGTTGATTAGAATATTCATTAATTTAAATTACTTATTTCTCTCCAGAAAACTACCTGTAGTTTATGCTTTTATTTAATATATATATTTACCATTATCTCACCCAAAAATTGAATATTAATTAAACCTATGAATGCCGTTTAAATTTAATGCAAATAAATCTGATAGGGAACCTTCTTCAAAGCGATTCGGTGGCAGGAGCCTTGACTTTGCTTCAAGGCTTCAAGGAAGCTTCAGCTATCAATCACACACACACAAACACACACACACACACACACACACACAGCCACAGCAGACACAACAAGGAGATGAAATAATTATGCTTAGCTGGCATTCAGACGTTGCCATAGAGCAGGTCCTTGGAGCGTCCTCTGGTTTCATTTACATGACGATGACATCTCTCTCTCCGCTCTGCTTATAAATAATTACACACACGCACTGACTGTGTGCTGTCGCATACATTTTGATATTTAATTTTTATGTTTTTGTTATCTGCCAGGTGAAATGGCAAACAAGGCAAGCGCACCGCGCAGCATTATTTTATTTCTTTCTTTTTGCTTTTTGGCTGATTTTTACATATTTATGAGGGCAGACGACGACGACTACGACTGTTTTTCCCTGGGGGAATGAATAAATCCGTGTAGGGGGAGGTTGTGGCGGAGTGCCGTATCCTAGGTCACATCCTGTGTTCACCCAACTAATTGAAAACTAAAATGTCAATGGCAATCTCATCATCCGCCACCCAGGATCATTCTATTCGACCAGGCATGCCAGTCACTCACCGACTCACAGGCTGCCGCTCCCGGCTATCAAATCTGTGCTATAAATATGCCGGAATAAAAAGCACTATATAGGCACTTAGAGAAACAAATAAGCCTAAAATATGTGTACTAAAAAATAAGGATACTTAGAAGGACTCTTGATAGACATACAAAATGGAATGACTAAGTATAAGCAAGGTTTGTCCTAGCTTGGGTTTTGGTTTGGGCTTCAAGTCTTGTAATTTCTGTGATTGTTTTTTCTCTCAGTGTATGACAGAGTCCATGATGTCAGGCTAACAGCATAGAGTTGGCAACTTCAACGCTGCTAAGCGCATAAAACGGCTTTTCATTCGTAGAGCCCGTGAATTGTATCGCCGCCATGGCTGCTCCAGGCACCAGTCCATAGCTCCATAGTTCTGACTCCCGCTCCAGCTCCTGGTTCTGGTCCATCTACAGTTCCAGGTCCTTCTCCACCACCATTGCTTTTGCCATCTTCCATCCAACCAGCCTTGATCCTAATGTGCTGCTGTCAGAGCCTGTCGACGTCAGGCGGACTCTCGCCGGCTATTTCGGGGATTAATGTCAATGTGAAAGGATTTTATCCATGCATTGGAACTCCAAACAGAAGAGCCCTTCTCGGGAGTGAGTCCTAGTCCTCCTTCTCAATCCGTGTGGCTACTCCTATTGGCACCGCCATATCCATTCATAGTAACACGAAGCAAGCAGAGGGGATTTTCTAAAGAAATCGAGTACTTTTGATGGGGGAAAAAGCATTGCTTAATGTTCTATTAAAAGATTCACAAGTCAGTAAAAAATTTAATATTAAATATGTTTTGGATTTTCTTTACTATTATTGTGTATACCTTGATATATTTTTCAAGTTCAGTTCTCTTTGTACACAATACAATGAGCATGAAACAAAACTCACATCATATAAGAGAAAATATTATAATTAAATATATTAATAAATAATAAATTCCGGTTAATTAAAACATCATCAAGATGGCCAAGAAGGAGGAACTCCTTATGGAGGGTCCGAAGCGGCTCAACCATGAGCTAGCATTGATGCTGGAGGATACCAAGAACCTACAGTTCCGGAACCTCATGCCCCAGGCGAATAATATCTTCAAGTGGACGGCCCTGCTTTTGCCAGAATCTCCGCCATACGACAAGGGTGCCTTCAAGGTGGAGCTTGACTTTCCGCAGGACTATCCCTTCAAGCCGCCACGCATTCACATCAACACAAAGATCTATCATGCGAATGTGAATGAACGCGGCCAGGTGTGCATGCCCATTCTGGAGGCGGAGCACTGGATACCCACGGCTCGCATTGACCAGATCCTGCAGATCCTGCTGGCCACCATCAATAGTCCTCAGGTGGAGAATGCCTGGAACGTAGAAGTGGGAGGCGAGTTTCTCAATGATCCAAAGAGATACAACAAAATGGCTGAGGCCTGGGTGCAAAAGTACAGTGAACCACGGCCCACGGAACAAGATTTGATTAAATTTGCCCGCCGTCGCAAGAAGTTGATGTCCAAGGACAATTAATGAGCTATTAGGAGGTTCATGAAGAGACTTCAACAAATTATAGTAGTAAGCCAAGTGTTTTGCCTTGGAAAGTTCTAGGACTAAGAAAGTTTTCCTTTCTAAGACTAAGAACTTCCGGTTTATAAAAATACATCCGGAATATGCTCCTTACTTTATCCCCAAAAAAATCCTTCTGTTGGAACAAATCCCAAAACAAACACTATTAAAATCACATTCGTTTCGTGTTTATTGCCGCAATCAACACCCCATTTATCGATATATTTATATAGATATACTTTTCCGCCCTGCAACTTGCAAGGATTCCTTCGATTGGGTTTCCCGCTGCGCGGCGACTTAAATTGCCGTCGGATGTTTTGTTTTGGCGTCGCCTCTCAGTCCTCCATGGAGGCCATCTAATTGGTAGCTGGAACCAGAAGAATCAGGACACTTCTGTTCCAGCCAGCTGCGAGATAAATCATCCGCCTCGGTGGCGCAAACAAGGCTGGGCAAGGACACACGCGGTGTAGCACAGCGAGCGGGCGGCATTAGCTGCCAGTGTCATTGCCATTGTCGGCGGCATATCATCATCCGAATCATCCGAATCTGCCTCCGCATCCAAGTCATCATCATCGTTGTTCCTCGTTTTCCTCATTCGCATTCGCATGTGGACTTGTAGCCGTATCTGAATCCGCATCAGCATCAGAGTCCTAGTGCTGCTGCTGAACCGCTGAAAATCCGTGCTGTATCCGGGGTCGTATAAATTTTAGCAATGAATGAATCAACTTTACGAACATCGAGGACACATGTGACTTGCTTTACGGCATTCGTCACAGTTGTGGCACTGGGAGAAATATAATCACAAAATCCTTTGATCCTCCTTGAAATGTTTAAGTCTTAAAATGCAAAACGTATTTTCGTACATTTAAATACCTGAAAAAATACTTAAATCTGCATATGTTTGTTTTTATATTTTATTTAATTTATTTGTCCTTTTTAAGGACTCTCCAATGTCTAAGTGTATGGGTTTTATGTGCCTGTGTGTTTTGGGCAGTTCACTTGATATGCTCGCCCGCTCTCTATCTGCTACCAACTTGGACTTGTCAATGGCAGGACTGGGCACTGGGGGAAAAGATGGGAGCTGGGAGCTGGGAGCTAGGACTTTCGGGTGATGGGTGATGGGAATAAGCTGCCACTATAATTACAGCAAAGGCCAAAGGCACACACTCGCAGAGCTGGGGCTAAAGATATTTGTATCTAGTTTCTTTACTGCTGGATTTACTGCCCCATCAGATGGCTGGAGGATGGAGGATGTTATGTTGAAGTGATGAGTGGAGCAGGAGCAGGAGCAGGAGCAGGAGCAAACTAAAGCTGGAGGTGGAGCAGCAGCCGCCAGATAACTGGTGTCCGGAGCAACCATTGTGAAGATGGATTACCATGGCGGCGGCGTCAACAGTTTTTCTATGAGCCAGCAGCAAGCGTGTTTGTGGCTTGTGGCGTGCGTGTGTCCTGTTAAAACTGCCAACTGATTATTATCACCTTCCAGCTGCCAGGACAGTCATTGACACCCATTGCCTGGGCTTCGGTTGCCTTCAGCTCTGGGATGCACTTGGGGAAAAAAAATTATTCAGAGGGTGATATTTTTATAGTTTTAAGGAAAACTACAGTGAGATATAGAATTAATAAATTTGATAAGTAAAATAAATGCAAATAAAATTTAAAAGTCAGTTTAAGATTTAATGCGAATTAGAATCCAATTAAAATCATTATACCCAGGGTATTATAATTTCAGTCAGATTCGTTTTTCAAAGTAAAGAAACATTTTGGAACCTATAAATCATATATATTCTTGATCAGCATTAACAGGCGAATCTTTCTAGGCATGTCTGGGATAAAATTACATTTTTGAAATTTTTTCAAAATTTTATAAGGGGTAACATCGTTAAAATTATTAAAATTTGACAAAAAATTTGAATTTTTCAGATTTTAAAACTCAGTATGCAGATTTGTTACCCTACAAAAAACTAGCATAGGAAAGCTTTCTGAATTGAAATTAATAAATGTTTGGCTAAGTTATGAACTTTATTAAACTTTAATTTACCCAAAAAAAAAAAAGCAATTTAAAAAAAATTGATTTAAGTTAAGATTGGCTTTGTTATGATCGATTGTGGATTCAAACCTATGATCTAATAGCTAGCTGTAAGGATATAAAACTTTATCTATTCTTAATTAGGTTCATTTTTTGTTTTAATCAGTGTTAGTTAGATAAAAATTAAAATTACATCAAAACAATAAACTGAAAATTAAGAAAAATATAAGTAAAGAAGGACTTTGGGTCCAACATTTCTGTATTCATAAGTTTTTGTCTCAGTTTACTTTTCTGTGATCCCTGAAGTTACTACTTCTTGGACAATGCCACGCCCACCGCCCACTGCCATCCCAAGTGGCTCCCTCTAGTGTCTGTCACTGGCAGAAGTCGTTTGCTATTTGCTTTATTTCCCTTTCTCCATCTCCCTTTTGATTCTTTCTCTTCTGCTGCTCCTGCTGCTTCGCCCACTTCATCTTGCTCTGCTTCTTGTGCTGCGGCAATGAATCGCAGTTTTTGATTAGCTACAGACAGATGACGGGCCGCTGGACGAAGGAAGAGGGACGAGTGAAATTATATAACCCAGGCAACCAATTCGAAGTTTTTCTCTGTTCCTTTTAGTTAATGCAGACGGTTTAATTACTTTCAAAATGGTTTGTTGTTTGAAATTGGCTTTATTTTTGGGTGTATTCCACCAAAAATAGTATGTAAATATCTCTATTATATTAAATATATTTTATATACATTTTATTTAATTTATTTTTGGTTTGAAAAATACTTGATTTAAACGAAATGTAATAATGCGGCATAAATTGCCAATCGATTTTGCATTCATTACCAAAGACAACATGGAGGTCCTGCAGCGGCGGGGGTTTCTGTGGGGTTATAACAATTTATGACCTGCGACCCATAAAATATGCAGCTTATAAATTGCATAATTTATACAGGACCTTCGCACAGATAGACAAACAAAGTCAGATTGAGATATGGAGGCATTGTTAATTCATATATGAACTCGGTTGGTTGCGCTTCTGCTCCTGGGGCCGAAAGCGCTTACAAGTAATAAATACCAGAGATATAGGTTACAGGGGGAGAAAATGTATATTAATTACAACTGAAAATAATTAAAATAGAGTTATTTTTGATCTCTTAAAAATACTATGAGACAACATTCCAGAAAGCTAAAAAACATCGTCAAGGAAACTTCCCTATTGTATATATGAAACTCGTTTTCTACCCTTATTTCTCTTGGTGTATAGTTGCAATTACAAATACAGGTTGAAGAACACATACACCCATACTTACATCTACCGTTATAACTGCAACGAAAGAGAGCTTAAGCGATATACAGAGATTTCCGCTTCGGTTTTCCGTTTTTCCTTTCGTTTTTATCGTATTTGTTTTCCGTTGCGGCGGCTGCTTTGCTGTTTTACTGTTTTCTGCCGTGTGCAGTGCTTGTAAAACCAATAAAATCAATTAAAAGGCACTCAACATGCAAACAATTATATGCAAATTTATTTATACACACACACACACACACAAACGAACACAGAGACAGAGAGAGAGTGAGAAAGTCCTTGCTAGAAGGACGCAGGATAAACCCAAAAGAAAAGCGGTGAGCAAGTCAAAGCAGCCAGAAAATAACGCTTTTATTTAGTTAGTGCTCCTTTTAGAGATGGAAGTGGAAATGGAAAATTGGAAAATTTAACTGTTTTAACTTTATAAAAACTTGGATTAAACAATTTCAGAAATATGAAAGAAATTATAAAGGGTTTTTAAAAGTTTTTACATAGTTAAGAAGTTGGATTTTGCTTTAAATCTATTTTGAAATATTTTTGGTTTCATTACGAGTTTGAATTTTGGATATTTCCTTAAACCAACGAATTAAAATTGTTGGTTAATAATTTTTAAAACTATTTTCCCTTCAATAACATCTCTAGAATATTCAAATATCCTAGAAAATAATTGTAAAAAACCTTAAAGAACTCAAAAACAAAGAGACCTTTAGGTATCTCTGAGACCCAGAACTAAACCACAATCATCTTCCATCTAACATTTGCATATGCCGTAAAAAACAATCAAAAAGGACCCTCTCCTCTCTTATCCTGCGAATAAATACACACAACAACGACTTCTGGGCAGCATCTATAAAAAAATATACAAGGAAAATCAAGCAAAATAGCAACCAAAACAACAGGCAAAGCAGCTCAAAGGAAAAAGGCAATACAAAGCTCAGAAGGGGAGCGGAGGGAATGGGAAAAGGACTCGCAAGGACCAAAAACAGTGTGAACCTGTTGCGCACACCACAACAAAACGCATGAACACGAAACAAACACCAGGAGCAACAGCAGCAACAACAATAGCACACAAAAGGTCCTGTGAAAAGCCAGGGAGATCCTGCGGAACGGAATGGCATGGCAGCGGCACAAAGCAAGTGCCAGAGCAGAGAAGAGAGCGGTTGAAAGCGAAATTGAATGCTAGATTGAAAGCAAGAGAGCGAGTAAAGAGAGTGCTAAAGGTCAGCCTGCGCAGTCGCTGAGCGAAAGTAGAACAAGCGCCGGCAGAGATAGCCGGGTAACTAGAATTGCTCAAGCAATAATATACAATAAAATAGATAAATTACAAATAATATATATCAATAATATTTAAACAATACGGAAGATATAAAATTAAAAATTATATAAATCAAACCTCATTACAAATCCCTCAAAGAGAGAAAGTGGAACAGTTGACATGCTTGAAACAGTTGATAGCTCAATTTGTGAAAGTGCGGGGGTGGGCGCAAAGAGAGTGAGTTGGGGTGTAAGAGCGAAGAGACCTCGTTAGCGTTTCGTTGCCATCCATACCCCTGGAGTTCACAGAGAGTCACTCTCTTACTCTTTTGTTCTATTTTTCAACATTCCCGCCCGCTGTTGAGGCTTCGCTGGGCTTTCCTTTGAATTCGAGAATTCAGTCAAATTTGATATTTTGCTCGGTTCGGTTGAAGGAAAGGACGACCAGAGATAACCAAAGTCCAGTCGTTATCCTGTCTTCGTGTCAACAACGTGTTGCAGTCGCAAGAAAAAAAGAGAGAATAAATCGTCGCCTGACCCGCAAAACGCGTTTGCTAAATAAACATAAAAAATAAATACACGAAATAAAAACACAAATGGAATTTTAAAATTAGTGAAAAACAAAACAGAAACAACTGCCAATTTATTGGCACAATTTTATACAATTTTCATAGTTTAAACAAGTGCTGAATTAACGCTGAAATTGGATAAACCAAGTTATTTACTTAAGGGCAAAGTGCAGGAATTTTCCTGAAAAAAAAATCAATAAATAAATCAATAAACTATAAAAAACAGATTAAAACTGTTAAAAACAAGTAAGTTGGGTTTATGGTGAAAGTTGTAAGACTAGGGCAAATTAATTATTGCTTTTAAAGCTATAGGGAAGTTTTCGCAAAAACTAACAAGTTATAACAAAAATAACATAGTAATATTATAAGGCATTAAAAAATAACTTAATTTTTAATAAATGGTCTCCTTTTTTTATACTTTAAAACAATCTCAATCATTAATAGGAAGTGTTTTTATATTAAGAATTCAGAATCATTTTAATTTCTTTTATCAACATAAAGTTTTCTAACAAAAGAAATTGCAAATTTTTTATTATTTAAAAAACTCAAAGGAAACCAAATGCAAATAAAGAAGAAATGTTTATTTGTGATTTATTCTATATTAAAAATATAATCATAATATTGTGATAGTTGCATAAAATTATTTTTCCATTAAGTTTAGATGTGACACTAATTAAATATATTAGATATTTGAAAATACAAAACCGTCGTTGAGTTTTTAGAACAATTTGAGTTTCTTTCCTTATTTATTTTCTGACACAATTCATATCAAAAACACAACAAGTGCAACCGCAATTTCTCAATAAGAAAATAAATCTCTGGGGTAATTAGGATTTTCAAAGTGAAATGTGAAATTCAACAAAGCAAAACATAACAAAATAAACCATAGAAATTTAATAGAAAACTATATTTTGCTCTGTGAAAATCGTGACTTAAAATTGTGACTTGAAAAACATCAAGACGAGAGCTCGGCTCTCAAGTTTTGGTTCTTGATGGTTTTTAGAACAAAATCCTTGATGCTTGCTCCTTCCTTGTGTGAGTTTGTGTGTGTATATTTTTTGTGGGTCAATGGTTCCTAACAGGACGAGGACGAAGGACGAGGCAGCACAGCCTGCACACACAATAAAAGCGTAGAGAAATCATGTTTCTATGATGTATACTTATGCACATTTATACATATTGCCCTGTGCTAAGTGGGCTAAACAAAGTCAGCGAAATTCCTCGGCGGAAACTTCTCGCAGGACGAAAGACAGACAGACAGACAAACAAACAAACAAACAAATAAATGGCGGCAGCAAACAAAGGCAAACAAATCCCTGGGACATTTTCTTGGAATTTAATTCAATAAAATGAATTCCAGAGGCAGCTCCCAGGGTGTCCTTTTCCACTCTTGCTTCCAAGAGTTGTGCTTCCAAGTTGTTCTTCATTCTTATTTTTTCTGTGTCCCGTGTCCTGTCCTATTCCCGGCTAAATGTCTGCAAATTAACTTTGCGAAAAACCAAAGGAAGAAAAATAGAAAAGAAACGAATTCCATTTGACAAATCGCAAACGTAAATAGATCCGAAAAAAGCCAAGCTCCTCGGGATTTTAAATGTAATTTAAGTTTGCGGAACTCCAACTTCGACACCGACTCCTTTGCCCACAGACAAATGGCGAGGACCAAAACTTTAGCCAAGTTGCAAGATTTAACATTAACCTTGGGCCTGGGCCCCCTTACCCCCCTTTTAACCCACAAAACCCAATGTAATGGACTCACAGCCAAAAACTAAATCACTGTCATTGTGGTCGGAGATTCACATCCCGAAATACACACACAGAGACACCAGCACGGACTCCGAGGGATATATGTGGATTTATATAGAGCAGAGATCCGGAAGGATAGAGTGAAGTGCGGTGCAGAGAGGCAACTATTGTTAGGCAATGATTTGCAATTTGTTTGAAAAATGCATTCACAACCACAAAAGACAAACAATCTGAGGATGCAGATGGAGGGAGAGGGAGGAGGTAGAGTGGGTGGCGAGCTAAGCTCTGCACAAATAAAACCATAAACAAACGCACCGAGCCAAAGCCCAGATACAGATACAAATACGCTCTCTGGCTGGAGGGATGCACTGGAGAAAATACTGAGGAAAAACTAAAGTTTATTTAATAAATTTAAGACTTCTACTTGACCCCTGAGAGCCATTTAAAAAGGTCTCATAGTCTTAGAAGTTCATGTTTCTTCACTTTAACGTGATTTTATTTATTTAAATCAAAGTGTGGTAACACCAGAAATATTTATATTATTTTTCAAGCTCTTTTTTCCTTAATATCTTTTAAAATCCAACTGAATTCCCCTCTGTGCATGCCTGCTGATGCGGCTGCATTTTGCGGACTGTTGGATTGCTTTGGCTTTCAGCTAGGAAAAAGGGAAAGCTGACAGGGACTCTGCAAACTGAAGTGGCAGAGGGATCCGGGATATATATATATATTCATGTATATATGTATAAAATGTGCAGCCACAACCGTCAATTGCCGGGCAACCAAATGTCCGCCTCTCCACTCCAAGATCTCCTCCCCTTGCAAAACCCATCCCGAATCTCGCATTCAGCCTCATCAGCAATCCGCGACAATTCTTGGCAAACTACTTGCCAGGGTGCTCCACTTTCTCTACTCTCTACTTTCTAGTCTCGGTCCTCCTCCTCTGGCTGCTGCTGAAGCACTCCATCAGGAGGCAATTTCATATGCGGAGCTCCTCCTCCTCCTCCCTATGCACTGAACTGCATACAATTACAAGCGAGCTGCAAAATGTGCACCAAAGTATCTGCCAGATACTTAATAGCAGCAGCAGTGGCAGCAGTAGCTGCAAGATGCAGATGCAGGAGCTACTGCCACAGCTACAGATGCAGCACGAAATGGCCCGGAATGCCAAACGAATTCATATTTGATGTATGAGCCAGAGCCAGCAGCTAAGGGATGTTCAAAGGAAATGCCAAATGAGATGTTTAAGCATATTTTGTGCAAAGGGAAAGCACACTAAAGTCCGTGTAAAACGAGAGATGGGATGGGGAAGTCCCGAAATCCTGTAAGCTTGAGGGGAGAATATGTAGAAAAACGATATGTGTTTTAAGGTAGTGAAGACCTTAAGCATTAAGGGATTATTTCTAGTAGTTTCAACTGAGATATTGATAGATTGTGGAGAGGTAACTGTGAACTGTGTGACTGTGAATCTAAATCTAATAAAAACATGTCAATTAGTTTTCTCTAGGAGCTTATAAGTATTTATTAGTGTGCAAAGAACATATAAAAATTTATTGCTCTTGAAGCTTCACTTATACTTATTTTCATAAGTTCAAAAAATATATGAAAATCCCTTAGAATAAATAAATATTTAAAATCAAAACCCACAAAAATAAGACACCTTATAGGAAAAACAAGATTCAACTGAGGATAACATGTAAATACTTCTGGGAAATATATCAAAGACCATAAACCATGCAAAGAAATAATTTCTTAGAAAATCCTCAGATTAAAGAAGTACAAAAAATAAATGTCTCTCCCAAACCAGACCCAAAGTCCACCTTGAACACATCCTGCAGGACCTGGAAACCTGTTCCCAAGGACAACTTCTCGTGATGATTGCTCTCTGCCTGGGTGCCTTCCTGCCTGCCAATTAACATGTCAAGTCGAGTGTCGGAAGTTGTTGGTTTTCGGCTCGCGAAAGGCTTTTCCTGGGCACAAGTTTTCCACGCGATTGGCCGCAACATTCCCGGACACGTGTTCCCCGGGACTTGGCAACTTTTGCTTTAAATCAATTAAAGAGAAAGGCTACGGGAAAGCGGTGGAAAATGACCGATCCCAAGCAATTTGCGGCACAAACTCACTCGTATCTGGGGGAATCTCGGAGCAGTGACTCCCGAATGAAATGTCACGCAAGCAAATGAAATGCGAGACAGGAGGCGGCGGCAGGATCCAGTGCCATTTGCCTGGGAGCGTCAGGAAGCTATTAAATCTACATAAAATTGTAGAAATGTGTGGCATGTTGAGCAATTACAACTCAATGTTGCCTGGCCAAGGAGGAGGGGTTCCCTGCATTCGGGGGCGACGAGGACGACGCACCTTTCGGCTGACATGCTCATCTGAATGCAAAGCCCAACCATGTTTCACTGGTTTTCCCCCTCCCAACCTGTATGAAAAGAGGGGATATATATAGTTTTGTTCTCGTTGTTGTGTGCGGCTCGAGAGCCGTTAGGAAATTGCACTTGCCATTCCCTGAGCCACGGCCCCCTTGCCATTTTCCCAGCGACGAAGTGGGCGTGTGAAAAAAGAATTAAAGTCAAGTGAGCGCACTGAGACTGAATACATAAAAGGTAGAGGGAAAAATGTGCACCCCGAGAAGGGAAAGTGATAGAAAAGATTTGCAGAAAGATATATAAATATAATTAAAATATGTTTATTTAAGATTTTATTTAAAAAACAAATAGTAAAGGTACTACAAATTGGTGGATTATTTCAAACAAATTTAAAAGAATGAGTCTCCCCTTTTCTCCTAGTGCACAGCTTGTCATGGAAAATGGTAGGGAAAACTCAGAGGAGGCAGTGAAAAGGCATTCATCTGGTGGGCGTGGCTGCATGCACAACAACAATAATACGAAACTAGGAGAAGAAGAAGGGGCAACGGCGGGAAACCAACATCAACGTCAACGCCGAAGAAAAGCCGGAAAAATGCCCAAGTTGTTTGGCCAGGCCACAACGCGAAGGGCAGGATTGAGGGAATATCCCCGCCCTGCACTCTACACTAGCTATTTGGCCATTTTTTTTGTTTTGTTGTCCTTTTGTTTTTTGCTTTTTTGTTGTCCCTTTCCCATCCCAGAAAAGGTATAATTTTCGGCGCGACATTTGACGCGACCAGGGGCCAGTCACCAGTCTGCCGCGAAAATGAAATGTACAAAAGTTTTGGCCATTTCTTTTTCGCCTGCTCCTGAAGATCCTAATCGTCCTTGGCCTGAACGGGCAATTATTTGGGCATTTATCAAAGATTTCATTTGGAGTTGGGTCCAGGAGCGGGAAAGGTGACAGATTGTTTCAGATTATTTAAATGGGAAATGTAGTTAGTTTGGCAAAGTCAAGAAAAACTCCATTTGCGAGAAAGAGAGTTTGGAAGTTGTATCCTCGTTCAATAATATTATATTTCACAAAGACTCCTCAGGTAAATCTCAAGGGAATCAAAGTTTAATTGAAGCAGAGAAAAGCTGACTGCTTGTTTA